AATATTTTCTCAAAAATATTCCCAAAACAGGCCAAAATAGGGTATATTTTGACCGATATTAGGTACAGAGATAGATGTTCGTTTTTTTATTTTATTTTTTCTATCGCTTCTTCTTTGTTATATCTTTCTTACAAACCCGACTATGCTACCATCACTAACACGGTTGCACCCAGACAATCTATTGCATTAAGGTACCCTAACTTATGATACAGAGGAAGTATTACCCTATTCGACGCAAATCTGTCACATCTACTCTCAAGGAAAACGTCAACTTCAAACGAAAACGCGTTTTACGATGCGTCTACACTCCATCCCCATATCATTGGCGTTGACTGGTTCGAGGTCGATCTTGTTCGCCTGTTTTCGGCGTCTTGACGCCCGCGCAATGCGAGCTTGTACCTCTGCACTCGCCGAGATATGGCCACCGTGTAGCCACCGAACGATCTGAAGAAGTCGTTCCTTGAAGACTCCTTTCAGATCCATCGTTCCTCCGTTCGTTCCTTCCTCCCACGGTATGTGTCGCAAGTTCATCGATGAACTCGTAACCCTCCTCTCCAAGGCGGTGATGTACTGTATTTTTGCCGGGACAGTACGATGACCAATCGTAGTTGAATCATGCACCTGCATACGGAGTTCTTCGCGCCCTCAAATGGGCTTCTGGCAAACATGTTCGAAGTCCTGTCGAAATTAAGCCCTCTGGTTCGGAGGCTAACACAAGCTTTTTCTCCCCCCAAGAGCAGTGCTAGATGCGCTATGCTATTGTACTTTTGAATGTGTCCACATGGAGTATCGTGCTACGCCATGGCGGCAGTCCATGCGTTGAGGTATGGTTGCTACAACAAGAACGCTGAGTTGTATCTCCGGGCAGCGGCACACCAGCTGGAACTACATCTTGAGAATCGCACCTTACAGAAGGGGACAAATCTATATAAAGCCGTGGTTTGCACCTTCACTCTTATACGAGACCCTCAACACAGTTGGCATCGACGCGTGAGGGTTTCGCCCCGCCTCCCCACCCCATTATCTCCGGCATTGCAGCTAGCTGTGAACACCACATTCAGACGCACACCTATACACCTATAAGCCGAAGGCCGGCCATCGTTAGGCCTCCACACCAGCATTTGTTGTTGACCGTGCCGAATCGCTGCCCTCGAAAAACTTCGCTGGTCTGTGTGGCGCCAAGAGACATGTGGGCGTTGGGGCATTATTGTTATTGATACTGCGAATCTGACTACGGTGCCGTTGTTCGCAATGCGCAAGCACCTCATTTTACGGTTCATACTCCCAAAGTTCATACAGGAATGTGTAAGATCGCTTCGCTAAAGTTTTCACGCACCACCTACCCCAGTGCAACCAACAAGCATCCACTAGAACAGCAACAACAACATCAGCAACAACAACAACTGCTGTTCAGAGGGTACTGTCATATTCTTCTGAGTCTCACATTCCTCGAAGAACTCCAAGATCGTTCAGGCAAATGTGTCTTGGTTGATGCTGTGGTGTACCTCGTTCAAGAGGTACTTGTCGCAGCCGTTGCTGGACCCCGGTAATGCGAGCCGGAACTTGTGCAGNCCTTAGGACGGCCCCGTCCCCGCAGTGACAACGTCGGATGCCCGGTGATGGAATCGGGCACCCGCTCGTTACCATGGCCGACCCCGACGTAGTCGTAAGCGAGTACCCACCACGTAAATGGTGGTGGCTCACCGCTCAAGGAGTTCTTGTTTCCTCTTTGACGGAAAGAGTAGATGATCTTGCTCAGGGTGAATTGGTCTGCTGGTGGCGGTCCATGGTCGCCCGTCGGCGTTGGCTTGTTGAATATCTCGACATCGTCTGCCTGCCCCTGCCCCAACGCCAAGTCGTCAGGCGGCCCAGGCCGTGCGGCGGGCTTGACGTCGCCACCCTTCAGCCGCCCCTGGCCACAGCTCACTACCTGCGCAACGCGCTAAACTGCTGCCAGAAAACTGGCGTTCAAGTGCAACAAACTACAGGCGAGGCATGTTCCGGAGTCACCCCCATACCTCGAGGAGCACTGCAGTGACGGTCGGAGCTCTGCTGTGCCGGTTCAAAAACTTATTCGTCCTCCCGCTCAAATTTGATTGGACGTTTTCGATGCCAGAGCCGAAAACTGAAAGGCGTCTCGGCGGTATAACCTCGACTATCGCCACTTGCTTTAACCTCATCACCCTGCTTCGAAAGAATTGTCGAGACACAGGGTGAGCAACTAAAACAATACAACGACGCCCGTGATCCTAGGTCTTTGGCCCAGAAGGGTCGCTCGAGGGTTTGTTGCCCAACATAGGGTCACANAGAAGGGTCGTTCGAGGGTTTGTTGCCCAACATAGGTCACAAACCGCATCCTAAAAACCATCCTTACCCCTGCCAATGGCCAAGTTGGGCTCAGCCAAGGTAAGGCGTTCAATCGGCCTCACCATGTGCTCGGATGGCCTGTGAGGTGTGCAGGACAGAGTGGATGGTAGGCCTCGAACCAGTCCTCCCCATGACCTTGGAATAAAAGCCGACCTGGACAGGGCGGAAGAAGAAACACAATTTAACACGCAGAGTGGTATAAGAACAAAATAATAGTCGAAGATATTAGCTTTACTTGCTATTTTGCAACGTTCAAGTAATATTAAATGCGAAAAGCCGTGTTCTTGGGTGAAAGGAGTTCGGGCGTTTCCAAATGTGGACGGGCGAAGAAAAAAAGCAAAAAAATAACCCGACGTCATTAGAGCTGTGTCTCATTCGTCTATTGGGCCTCCCTCGGACACGCAAAAAAACACACTTGCCCGTGGGCCTATCGCTGGAACGCACGATGCCTGGCCTTTCTAACGGCTGCGACGACCGCGAATAGTAGCAACAGCAGTAGCAGAAGTGGCACCAAATAAAACCCGTCGCGGGAATGCGTCGATTTGCAGGTCGCGGAAAAAGGATCCATTGGCGGCTACCCAAAAGCAAGACGAATAAAGCAAGCGCCGAGGTGTTTTTCGCTGGTAGGAGTGACAACAAAAGCGATCACCCGGGTGCGTTTTGAGGCGCTTTCGTGCATCGCCGTTTGTTTTTTAGGGTGTGTGTGAGAGAGGTGCCATGGGCACCGGCATGTTATCAGGAACACGCTTTCCAACGATATTGGATCACAGAGCATGGCAATCTTTCCTATAGGAGTGTGCACTCCCAAACAAAACAAAGCCCAATGCAGGATGGGATGAAAGGAGACCGCAGAGACGCAAGCACCCCAATCTATTGTATGCCGCTCAAAACCATGCACACCAATGCCCGTCGCAGGAATAATAGAGGTCAGAAAGACTTACCACGTCACGCGCGAGAAGGTCGAGTTGGGCTAGCTCCAGATCGTTGTGAGAAGGCGCACGCACAGCGCATGACAGGTGTGACGCCATCTGTATCAGCTTCTGAAGCACCTCGAGCACCTTCTCGTCTGTCCCCCAAATGTCTTTCAATTCGGCGATGTCCTGCCTCTTCATGTACTTCTTCTGCGAGGGTGCAAGATTCGTTGACAAATCGCCACAGGAATGGGTTCGGAGGGGGGGTTAATCCGGATATTGTACGTCGCTTCGAGAATAGGGCGGAGAGGTACCGGGTTGCACATGTCGCCCCGTGCTTGCAGGGTGCACGCAGAGGAGGACTGTGGGTGCCGTGCCTCAAGCTTCACCAATGCCGCGGAATGGGGGGGGCGGCGTCCCCCTGTCTCGCACGCCCAAGTTGTTACTGCTAGACTATTAATTGACCACGGGTACTCGGGNGTCAGCCCCATTCCTGTGCCCCAGCATAGCTACCGTCTCTCGTGCTAAATTCCATGCCTCAAACATGTCTCTGTACCTTCCTCCTATTTCGTCCAGCCCAGCCATGTACGTTTTTCTGTATATTTTTCGTAAGACGGACCATCAGCAACTATCATGTCGTATACGTACTCTCCTATTCATACGGTACGATCAACACAAA